AAATTAGATTTGAACAGAGCGAGAGTTTCAAGCCCATCTGCAATGTGACACCCACATCTGAGAGGCCAGGTGGGCCAATCTACTGAGAGCAGAGCATGAAGGACATTTTCAAAGCTTTGCTTAAATTCACAATTTATTAAGAAAACACATTGATGGGAGATATAGCAAAATCTAGCCAAGGAAAAGGAAAAGAAGGCCAGGGTTCTGTTTTGGAAAAAACTGTTGGAATATATTTTGTAGTTGGACAGGGCAGAGACATTTTTCTACTGGATTAAAAAAAAAATTGTTGAAAGGGCCTCCCATATCTTTCAAAGGAGAACCCCACCACCTGAAAACCAACTGTACATTGTTTCACATGATTGAATATATTTAAAAAGGCTCTACTTAAATACTGTACATGTATGACAGCAAAGCTTTTAGCAGAACCAACTGAATTCCAAAACTTCTCTGTACAGTAAACAGGTGAATGAGTTTATAATAATTGATTTATATTGTCATGTGTTATTGAGACTTTCCCTATAAATGAACTGTAAAACTGCAACTCATATAACCTATTGTGCCTATTCAAAAACATGAAATATTAGGACCTTTATAAAGTTGACCCATCCAGGATACCAGTAGGCCTGACCTGACCTGCACAGACTTACACCTTGGACCAGCCACCAGTCCATTGCAGGGAACTAAAGCACAGACACACTCACTCTCAGACTCAGGGGGGAATTCAATCAATCAATCAACCAATCAATCAATCAATCAATCAATCAATCAATCAATCAATCAAGGTTTATTTATCAATGCACTAACAGTACAGCATACAGTGGTGTTCTCAGCAATGAGATGCTTTATATGCGAGCTTTGTTAAGAGAGTAGATGGACAGAATTTTATAGGGATTAGGTGAAGATTACGATACCATACATTACACAGTTGCTACTTACAATACAATTTACACATTGTGCGAAAGTATCACAGGAATAGGAGGTATTTAGTGCTCTTCGTATGTGTCCTGAAAGTGCAAGTGACAGGAGGGCGCTGGTGCACCCTGTCAGTTCAAGGAGGTTGCCTATTCGCCAGCGACCATTGGGGGTAACTGTGGGCATCTGCTGTGGTTGGCTGATCAGCAGTCTTACTGCCTGGGGGAAGAAGCTGTTACGAAACAGTCTTGGTCTGTATACTGCAGTATCATTTTCCGGATGGTAGTAGAAAGAACAAGCTGTGGTTAGGGTGACTGGCGTCCCTGAGGATAGACCTGGCCTTCTTGAGGCATCTAACAGAGTAGATATCCTCGATGTTCGGTACCTCACAGCCGGTAGTGTTTTGAGCCAGTTTCACCACCCTCCGGAGTACCTTGTGCTCTCGGGCAGAGCAGTTCAGAGACACCAGTTAAGCTATACAGCATGTCTTTGGACTACAGGAAGCTACTCACCCAGAGAAAGCCCTTGTGGAAATAAGGAGAATAGGAAAACTCCACAAAAAAAGGACTTAGAATACAGTATTAGAAATACAAAGACTGATATCTAGTACATTCCATGCAGACATCTCACCAAGGACTATATCTCTTTAGTTGAGTAATTAGTGCTCAGGGATTGTAGTGATCTTACTGCTATTCTTGTTATTCCTGTCTGCCAAGCTGACATTCTGATTAAATGCTTATTAACACACTAGCTCAGAGGAGGTGAGTCTATTCATTTATGCAACATCCTTGAAGTATGGGGATTTAAAGAATTTACTGTTACAACTCACCTTTTTGTCAACGCATTATTTTGCAAATATTAACAGCCATCTGCTCTCATCCACTCTGGTTTCCAGGATCTGCCGTTATATACTAAACCCTGCTGGAAGGTATTTTTCAACCACTGAGTTTGACTTCTAGCTCCTTTTCATTAGTATACAAATTCTAATTTAAATTGCTACTGAAACATTGGAGGAATGCCTCAGTGCTTTAATAAGAAATATAACTTTCTCCTGTGCCAAGAAAATCTGCATTACATTCTTTCTGCATGAAATGTTGAATGATTAAATTCATAATGAAAATTACATGAATATATTCTGTCAATCAAGGTTGATTTTATCATTAAAATTTCAATTTAATAGCTATTTATGCTTTTCAGATATAGTTATTGAATTTGTATGTAAACTCATATAATAACTTATGAATGAGTCTTTGAGTTCCATAAACAGTTGAAAAGTTGTGTATTTATACTATTGGTGATTGCTCTGAGATTTCTGATGCTTCCAAATTATATTATGAATACTTAAAAACTAATTTAAGCTTAATTAAAATGTTTAAGGTATCAGTTTTTTTATTTGAATTTCCAAACTGTTATTATGGACATCCTTCAATGGTTTCTTCTGTTTTGTATCATCTTCTCTTGCTTGAAATGTTTCTCATCTTGGGATCACAGAACTAGGACTAAAACCTCATTTTTTTGTTTTATCTTAAACTTAGAGCATGATTTTAATGGCAAAATTCCTGCTATGATCCTGTTTGGCTTTGGAAGATGGAAAACTTTGAAATGTAAATACTGTATTGATACTGTAGCTCTTCTGCCCTCAGCCCTTGTGTCTCAGAGTGAAGAAACCAGTATTCATTAAGTCCACCACTGTCAACAACACCCTCAGATTTTATAAAGCAGTAGGATATCTGAGCAAATACAAACATATTAGGATGAAATTCAAGATTCTAGGCTGGTTAGCCCTAAGTCAAAGTAGTAGTAGTCTGTTGTAATAGTCTCTGTTTCATTGAAATGTGAATAATATCAAGCTTTACTTTAATTCCTACCAAACTATCTTGCATCCTGGTATTAAACCTTATTTATTTTGACTTTGTCACCCTTAAATTTTCATAAAATCTGAGAAAAAGTCAAGTGCATGAATTTTCTTGTAGACCAAATGTAAAATTAATTGAAAAAGTATACTACTGTAAGTGTGTGTGAGTCTCTCGCTCAAAGGGTTTAACGAGCAGATTGCTGGGATGGACATTCCCTTTTTCAAAAGGCTTGATATCAAAGAGGATTAAAGCAAAACAATCTAACTGGCTTGTTTTTTTCATTACACAGTACTGATGCAAAGTAATTAAACAAGTATAAATAACAAGTTAAAAAACGCACCTGAGCATAGTGTAGCCATGTGACAGCTCCACTCACATTGGGAGTGATGTGCAAAAAATTCAGATGACGAAGCCAGTGTGTAAGTAGTTCAGCAGTTACCACCTACCTGAGGACAGAAATGGGGACAGAATGTTAAGAAGTGTGGCAGTTTAAAGGCAGTGCTTTCGCTGTGTATTATTAAGGGAATGTATTTATATTTCGTACGCTTCCTTTCTATTTTCTAGAGAAAATTAATACTCCTCTTTTTTCTCCCAGGCTGAAGTCATACAGTACCTGACATTATGTCATATGACAGCCCGCTCTGAGCGCTTTTCTCTTTCTGTTAGGAGAGTGACTTTCTCTCTCATAAGAATATGAAACTCGGAAGGACTTGCCTGCTCAGAAGTGAGGACTGGCCCGATAATTAGACGCGCACGCAGGAAACACTAGCAGAAGGTGATTTCTGAGAGTATGTTATGAAGCCAATTGCTTCGGGGAAAATCGTTTCCTAGGCAAGATGTTCCGCTAGAGATGTTCTAAGCGTGTTAAACTTGTATTGGACAACATGCATTTTCAGCCACTGAAAAAAATAGCAAAACAATTGAATTGTGTTTGTTCCTTAATGACAGAGATCATACAAAAAACGTTGCTATTCATTTAAGTATAATTTACGTCTTGAAAGAATTAACACAATTTTGGGGGGAACATTTCGCACTTTCTGGTTACTCGTTAGATTCAACAGTGCAGATAGCTGGAATATCCGTGTCGGGGTTTTTCATGTAGTCCGAAATAATTTTTTGCAACATTGTAGACAGTTTGAACTTGTAAATACAAACTATTTCGAAAGCTGTACCGAGGCATCCCTGGGAAGTGTGTTGTACTGCCATCATGAGGAAAACGAGAATTATGCAGAAAAACGCCGTTTGAACAAGGGACGCGAAACCTTCTTAGCAGAATGTTTTTCTAGAGAAGACTGTCTTGTTTCTCTCTTATTCCAAATGAACTGTAACCCCCGCTCCTCCTCTCGTCCCCAGTCAGCACTTGAATTTCCTATACATCTGTGCTTTGGAGGACCAAGAGTCAAGACATGCCACTTCACACACATTTGCTCATGGCTTGTTTGGAGTTTCACCCACAGCTAAATCATGTACTGTAACTGAAAGAAATGCTCAGAAAATCTTCTCTGGAATTATTATTAAAATCTGAGATCACTAATCAGGCTTTGGAATTAGAGATACAGTAATCAACATCCAACCCAAACTTTCAACGTTTTGATTGTTTACGATACTTACAGGAATATTTGAATATTCACCCTCAATTACAGAGACCCTTCACTGGATTGATGCTGTCAATAAGTCGTTCGCTGGGTCGCCTTTATAACTCCATCTATTTCCTATTTTCCTAAAACACTACGGAGACGCGTATGCCTCTATAAAAAAGATCTCTAGTGCCCAGTATTGTAAGGAAAACGTGAATGCAGATAGTTATCAAGCTTCAGAGTGACCCAAATTCAGATCTGAAACAGTAATGTACAGCATAAAGGAGATAATACTCTAAAAACTAAACGAGTGCAAACTTCTTAATTAAACCAAGGAAATATGTGCATTAGCAAAAGGGTTGCTTTCTTCTTTGGGGAATTCTTATTTCTACTAGTACAAGTTCTACTTATTATTATTTAATATTTGCTCCGGATGTTTGTGGTGACAGCGAAGACATGCTAAAACCATTTTAAGCAGTTAGGAATATCGGCTGTGGTGATCAGACCTTTGGTTAAACTGATGTCAACAGGCAAGAATGAAATAACGAGAAAAGGCGACGAGAGAAGCCTGTCGGAGAGGTAAGGGCACTGCACACGTCTCCGGTGCAACAGAGCCATTGATTGTATCAGGAGTCACATCTACAGCTTCAAAGAGGCAACACAGCGGACCTTGCACAGCGCTAACACGATTTATTTCTGTACTTATCGATTGATTTTTTTTTTGACGAGCAAGCACGCTTAGCAACTAACTGTAGTTAGTTCTGGATAACTGTAACGTTTTTTTTCTGCCAGGTATTATTATTATACCTGGGCACCTGTCACACATCAAAGCGCAAATAGTTTGTAATGCTGATTGTGAAGTCACGGGCTTCGTGAGAGTTGGGTGTCTGGCGCTTCATTTGTAAAATAAAACTAGACATTCTTCAAGTTTGACATCAATATGGACTTCAAGTACAGCCTACGTGACATCTTTATTTGTATATTATATTTTTAATTATACATACGATTTGAGTGCACAGTGATCAGTACTTCCCCGTCTGTTTAATGGATCTGAAGTATTTACCAAATCTACTTTGACAATAACAACGAAGAAAAAAAATCTGCACGAAGCAACGCTCTTCAGTTTTGTAATGCGCCTTTTAAAAAGTCCATAATTGAACAGCGGAATGTACATTTAATATACATTTTACACTTTTATGAAAGAATATTCTGTATTTCCACCAAAGAATATGGGAGGGGATATCCCAGGTCTGAACGTAAGCTCGGATTCTGCTTCATCAGGAGATTCTGCTAAAATCAACGGGACTGACGCCGCTTTCTCCGGGTATATCATGGTGATACTGGCTGTGCTGATGGTCACCCTTGTGGTTGTAACGGTGCTGGGAAACGCACTGGTGATCCTTGCTTTTATTGTGGACAAAAGCCTGAGAAATCAAAGTAACTATTTCTTCCTAAACCTGGCGATATCAGATTTCCTAGTTGGTAAGTGTCAGAAATCTGAGTGGTTGTCTGTGTTTTATTCTTGTTTTGCGTCATTAACGTCGTCAAAAATGTGCAGGTACAGTATGTCATGATGTTACAAAAACTGTTCATTTCACAGGAGCAATAACTGTCAAAGTACAAAAGATAGTCACCTGGGGCAATTACATCCACTTTTGACAATTTTATAACATTTGATATTTTATTTTTCATTGAAGAGCAATTTGTATATACTGTATCAAGTATTGAAATGCACAGACTTTTCTTTTAAGTTAAAGTTACAACATGTAGAGTGCAACAGTTGTTGTGCCCTGCTGTTGTTATGTATCATATAATAGTGAGAAATGCAATACTGTATATTCACTAAAATGACTCAAAAGCAACGTTTTCTGAAACGTTTTCTTTCTTCTTAGCGGCTGAACTGGTGTTGTAGGTATCATTACTTTGCACAGCATAACGAAACATGTTACTGAAAAACGCTTTATTTCCTGACGTGTTATCAAATAAATGTTGTTCTCGTCTTGTTGACTTTACTACAGTACTGTAGGTCGGGGTTAGAGGCGGACAGGCAATTACACCTGCACACAATTTGTTAAAAAGATCAAAACCACATTCATTTTTCAGTTACCTGAAAAAAATGTCGGACTTCTCGAATGCAAGTGCAACGGAGAACTTATTTTTCCGCTGTTTTACGAAATACTTTTCATACCAAAACTGCGATCGGAGTAGCACACGTATAGTCACAGGATTCTCCCTAAGTGTGTTGGAGCTAGTGGTTAACAATTCGACAGTTTTCTTGTCACGTCATGATTTCAGTCAGGCTACAGATCTGGGATTTTATTAGACGAGAGCATCGGTATAAAGAATGTACTGTAGCTAGTCCTTCAAAAGTAAATACTGTAGGTTTAAACCGGTAAGCATTTTTTTGGCTTACAATTGAAAAAAAGTGAAAAAAAAACACGCCCCTCGTCCAAAAACCACACTCCTGAGAGAAATGCACAACGCTTCATAATTGATATTATTAAAATTATATTAAGATATTTAACTTTTACTATACTGTACACTGAATGTATTTCTTGTTAAATCCCTTCAAGTTATTACTATAGGCACGACTCGAAATATTGATAATCAATGACCAATTTGAATTGCCATGGTGTTGGTCTATTTTTGTTTGAGACAGATCTGTACGGCACTAGCCTTCCTTGTCAGATCAAAGAGCAAATTAAGTCCACGTATTGCATCTCCTCTCCTTTGAACAGTCATTTCTGAAGTAAAAAGTAAACATAACAAAAATAGATGTTTTACTCAGTTGAAGACCTTAAACTATGCTTCACCGATAAGACTTGCACTTATTTGATTTAAATATTGTACAGTATAGTACAGTATAAGCAAGCTTTGTTCTGATAATCGTACTGTTAATTATATTTTGATAGTTGAGGGAGGCTGCCGATTATCAAGCATGGTGAATCTTTCTGTACATGCAGAGTAATATTAAAGCAAACAAATTATTTGAAGAACAAATATTTTGTGATCACAGAGATTTCATTTTTTTATTTAATTGTCTTGCTTGTCTGATTTTTCTTCCTACTTAAGAATTCTTCAAGTCCAGTTTGATCCTTGAGTTGTAGTAGCCTGCTATTATTATTCTCCATATTTAGAATGAGAGGAGGATATTGAAAAGTACATTGAATATTGTCAGACAAAACACTAACTCTAAACTTAGCTTTAATGTTTTTGGGGGTTTCTTTGGTTAAAAATCAAAATTATTTACCTTGAAAATATGCATAATTAATATACAATTGTAGAATCAATCAGTGAAGCTCTTTATTTTACCATGTAGTTATAATCTAATTTAATTTTAATTTATTGTATAGGGCAAATCAGTTTACATAACCACACCTGCAGTAATGTGGTAATTTTCCATTTGCATCTATATTTGAAAAGCAGTATAATGCCATAAAGTGTAGATGAATGGTACCCTCAATTAATTCATCTGTGTTGTAGTGGAAAGGAGAGGCTATATTACAAGTTTATAATTACCATGCATACTTTGAGATGTAAGCTCTCTGTGGTTGAAAATGTATTGATTTTACCATTTTGTGTTTTACCTCACAATTCATGTCTCAATAAGCCAATTGAGCCAAGTGCACTTGACACAGAAAGCTGCCATGAGCAAGGGGAGGTGTATTCTGCTGTTTTATTTTTCCGTTAGTAATCCTTAGTTTCGGAACTCTACTACACTTCAGTCATTTACAAGCCATTTCATTCAGATTTCATCTCAAATGTCACCCTTTTTATTCTGTGCACTTCGTGCCTAGACAGGTGCAAATCAGGTACAGAAGTCACATCAGGCAGTTGAGTTTGATCCCAATGGTTGTGTTAGTTACTGTAGCTTAATGCAGCTGAATGTTGGTGTGTCTGTGTAACAGGGCGCATGCTCTCTGCCAGTTGCAGAAGTCTCTGAAATCTGAAAGACAATGGTGAACTCTGCTGAAGAGTTGGCTTTCTGTTATTAATAACGTATCATTTCCCAGGACAGGAAATGGGAGATGGAGTAGTGCAAGTCTGCTAGGTCTCTGTAGCGGAGCAGAGGGATTGGGATGGTATAAATGGGCCGAGCCACCAGAGGGCGGCAGTGCGGCAGTCGGAGAAATGCAGTCTTTTGCCTTCTCACAGTGGAATCGGTGAACCTGCGGCACCTGGGGTTCCCAGCTCCCTATATAAGCACTGGCTGAAGAACCAGAGTTGGTTTAGTGAGACGCTCATGGTTACTTGGAGTAGACAGCTTAAAACATCATAGGGAGAGATAATTTAGGAGAGTTCTAATACCTAACATAATACTTCATTGGAACAAGGTTAAGACTTGACATCTTGTGTAGAAATCTTGATCGTTTTCCGTCGGGACGCCAGTCAACAGGCAGACGGTTAAAGAGCAAACAGAATCGAACTGGTGAGGGATTTTCCACTGCTATTGGTTAGAGATCGTATTAGAACATACAGTGAATTGAGACTGTAAGGACGAGAAGCGAGCATAACACTGAGCTGGTTCCCTGGGCTGTTTATTTTCCCCTGATTTGGTTTGGATTTCATGAGCTGGACCCTGTGCTCCGCTACCATCTGGGGGGATCCGTCACTGACTCCTTCCAACCTATCATGGCTGGCCAATACGGCATCTTTTTAGTTGATTCCGGGGGTAACTAACCAGGAGACAGACCAGAACAGGAACCATGTCTGTCAGAGAACCAGAGCAAATAGTGGACTACCGATACCATAGAGACAAATGCGAGCCGATCATCTTCATTATCACTGGGTAGAGGCACAGTTTTCTGAATGTCAATGTCATGCTTAAAGGGCACTTGAATGTTCTTGTGTGCATGAGCTCACAGCAGGCCACATGGTGGGTGTACAGTAGGTACCTTTACGTCTATGGACACACACCTGTTAACTGTTCAGTCTGAAGTCGCTGGCACTAGATAAGAATGAAGATCCTTAACATCTTTTGTTAGGTATTGAGCTTCCCGAGATACAAGAATAGGTGGAAAGAAACATCCTTATTGTGAACCAGAAAATAAATGGAATAGAAACCCCCTTTCAATGTCTACAGCATCTACTGGGAGAATCATTCTGCTCTTCATTCAGGATGCCAGTGTGGTGAAACAAGGCAAGATGCCAACAGGATGCCCAAGAACCAGGATGATCAACCGTAGAACTGCAGTTGATAGCCCTCTGTCATGGTGTGCAGGACCTAAGGATCATGATCAGTCATCACCTGACTGACTTAATTGTTTTAGTCAGGAGGCATGTTGGCTCAGCAGTCTTGTTCAGTCAGGTATGAGTGTGGGCAGGACTGGGATGGGAGCATATTTAATTCCTTTGTCTTCTCTGAGGATACTTTGCATCCCGTGCTGTCATGAGAGCTACAGTGGAGGTAAGTTTCACTGTAGAAGAAAAGCCACCAACTGCTATGAAAACTCTTTTGCTTTGTGAGACCTCTTCAGGAGATGGTGCTGACGTTGGGCACTGCTTGTTGCAACAGACCAAGGTCTTATCAATAGCAGAAATGACAGCTGCTCGGACAAGAGCTGCCACAGAGTCTCCTAAGTGAAAACGTTCCCACTGCGTGAGCTGCTTGCATTGCTACCCATTCCCTACAAATATACCCATCAGGCAGTGAGAGTCACTGGGAGGCTCAGTTCCTCCAGGAAGACAGGATCTCTTCCAAGACATCAAGAGAACAGGGAGTAGATTGAGGCCTGCTGAGGCCACCATGAAGAATAAATAGTGCTGCTTAAGAAAGTGAATTGGACATAGTGAAGCAGAGTCATGGCCTTTAGTGGGTGTGTTGTCCCAAGGATTTTCCATGACTAAACCTGTCACTGAGAAGGCAGAAATACCCTCAAGTGGCCAAAGAAGAACAGGCAGTGGTAGGTTGAATGGATCTACATCCTGCAAGTGAAAGGTACCCAGGAGCTTTGAAAGCACTGTGAGGGAGGCTATAGGATCATCTTCCCACACAAAGGACATTTTCCCAGGGATGACATTTTGCTCCCAACACCCTATCCAGAACCTTTCCAATAAAAATGAAGAGATAATAGCAAATAGCAAATATTTCAGGTGGGTAGCTGTGTCAGCATGCGTAGGCTGCAAAGGAACAAGTAATAGGTTTATTCCATGCTGAAAAAAAGAAGAAAGAGAACACAACGTTTCGGCCGTGGAGCCTTCAGGTG